GTAAGCAATTTGCGCGGAGGGGGGCTGGGGCGGTGCTGAGACGACCTTTTTCTCTTTCGCCACGGCCGCATCTCCAGAACATACCTATCTGCAAACTGCATGCAAACTGCAATGCAAAGTGACGGCACGACCCCACATCCCGACATCCACACTACAGAAAGACTACAGTAGAGCACCTCACGAGCCGGACGTGGGCCCCGGAGTACCCCGGAGACAGGGAGCATGTGTGTGCGTCTATGAGACTATGACGTGCTGACTATACTCTTAGCAGCACGAAATCGTCGAATCGGGTAGGAGGGCGTCCGTAGACACCTCACTAGACCCCACATACGGTCTCGTCCGTGCCTCGCCGGCCGGTGAGATTGCTAGAGGTAGAGCAAGCCTGCTCTAGCCTCGCATGTCACTTCCTGTCGTCTGTTGTGTCGTTGTGCCCTTGTTTGTACTCTTGGCACCGTGGGGTGCTGGGGGGGGCGACAGGGAGGATGTGGCCTTGAGTTATGTGTGCGCCGACTCAGGGTGTGTGGCAGCCAGCTGGCTGTGTGTCTTGTGAGCCTGTTTGTGTCTGTGTGTCGCTCGTGCGTGTCGTCATCATCTGTCTAGCGCGTCCACCCATACCGCGTTGGTGTCCAGTCCGAGCCTGGCTGTTCTTCACCTTACTACCTACCTACCTATGCAGGGCTTGATTGGATGTTATGCCAAGGGCCGCCGTCTCAAGATCAGCTGTGGTCGCCCCGGAAGGGGGGGAGGGCGCAGCGCACGCGGAGAAGGACTTGGCGCCCCCTCCCCAAAACAACTCTCCCCTCCCCTAGGCGGCCGCCCTCCCTGCGGAGGCGGTCAAGCAAGGCGGACGCGGGCACAAGCACGCGGTCGAGGAGGCGGTGTGGCACCTCGGTGAGGTGAAGGACCGCGCAACTTCGTCCGCAACAATGTCTTTGCAAGGCGCACCCTAAAAAGAAAGAAAACCAAGCGGGCACTGCCGGTGCTCACACTCGTGCTCACACTCGTGCTCACACTCGCGCGAGGTGTCGGCCGTCGAGCGGTCACGCACGCCGGAGTGACCGACGCATAAATGCTGGCGGTGCTGCACTCGCTTCGCTCGTTGTACCAATATGCTCACCCGCTGCTGGAGTCGTGGCTTAGGCACATGCAAACCGCCAACGAGCGTTGGTGGCGAGAGGTTCGCGACATTCTCAACATTCTGCAGCCGACGCTTGCGCATATCAACCAGGACGAACTCCTTAAACGGCTTGATTGGCTAAAGTACCTCGCGCCAGTGGCACTGAATATCTACTTGATCGTGGTATACGGCATGTTCATGAAGTACCGGCTTGTAGACATGCTGCTCGGCATCATCTTGATGGAGGAGGTCTTCTACGCCCGCCTCGACAATTTTATGTCCCAAAACCATTCGTGGTCGAAAGAGGTTCAGCAGTTTACCTTCCTGTTCGGCAGCACGAACATCGTGTACTTTATCGTTCTGAATTACGCGTCGCCAAATGAGGCGACGCGTGAGACCCTGAGCATGTGCCTCGAGATGGTCATCAGCCTTGCCGGCTGGGCCCGTTTTCATCGCATCCTATGGGACGACCCGGCTCTGTTGGCCGGAAACGTGGCGGGTCGCGTGCCCAGCGCACCGGCCGGGTTCGTCACAACGGTGCTTGCGGAGCTTGTACCGGTCGATCTCCTTGTGGCCGTGACGGAGAGGGTGGGCTTTCGACGTCTCGAGTCGGGCTTTGGTTTTGGCACCCCCTGTGAACTGAGTCAACAGTACACCTGCTACGTGGACACGACAACCCCGTGGTTCTGGATTGGGCTGATTGCTACCGCGTTGGTGTATGTCACCCTGGTGCGCAATGAATTCGAACGCTCACTAGGCGGCGTGGCTGCGGCAGGAGGTCGCCTTGCGCGGGGGGCCACTCTTCAGGAACTTGGCTTGGCTCAATTCACGATTCCCCAGCGAGCGCCACCCGCTCTTGTGCTACTGTTTTGGCTACTGGCTGTGTACCTCCGCTTCTTCATACTGTGCACCTCCGCGTTGATCTTGCTGACCATCTTCTTGGTAGATGAGCTTTTTGGCTCTCGCGAGCTCACCGGCTCCCTGATCGCAATCGCGGCCGGACTCTTTCTCATGCACATCTCGGTGGCAAGGATACCGTGGCTGATCGACTGCGTGTGGGACGTGCTCACACGTTCAGCGCGGTGCATCATCGAGGCCGTGACACGTGCTTGGACGGGGTGCGGCGCAGTGTGGAATTGGACGTTCGGACTGCGCACGCTCGCGGGGCATACGCGCGAGGTGCGCTCCGCGAGCGCCTCCGCAGCCGCGGTGAGCAGCGCGGTCGCGCCGAGCGCGAGCTCGGGCGTGGCGTCGAGCGGCGGGGCGGTCGACGAGGCGGCGCCCGCCCTGAGGCTGGCCGACGGCGCCCTCGTGCGCACGCTCGAGGGGCACACGAACGGGGTGAGTTCGGTGTTTGTGACGGACGACAAGCAGCACGTGGTGACGGGGTCGGCCGACCACACAGCGCGCATCTGGCAGTTTGCGGACGGCGCCCTCGTGCGCACGCTCGAGGGGCACACGAACGGGGTGAGTTCGGTGTTTGTGACGGACGACAAGCAGCACGTGGTGACGGGGTCGTCCGACAACACAGCGCGCATCTGGCAGTTTGCAGACGGCGCCCTCGTGCGCACGCTCGAGGGGCACACGGGCACGGTGCGCTCGGTGTTTGTGACGGCCGACAAGCAGCACGT